CATGGAAGCGTGATAAAGAATTTCATTCACTGTGTCCGAATGACACTTCCTCATTAAATTGCAGAATCGGGGAGCGATAGCATAATGTTTGCAACAATTCATAAAGGCTAAATGGCAGGATTGACTTACAAGTGTCTTCTTATTCTTTATCCATTAAGGCTTAATGAATTAATGCGAATAAAAGTTGGGTTTCGAGGAACTCCCTGTTTCCGAGGCGATCTCATTCGATTCTGTCGAAAAGGTGCTAAGCTTTCGTCCGTCGTATGACCAACATCATCAGAGTAGGGTGCCATTTTTACAACCAAATTCTGGCCAATGAGTGTAGAAACTGACCGGCTCATCCCTAAAAAGCTGTATATATACTCTATATCTGACCTTTTTGATGAGGCAAAAAGTGATTTGGCTAGTTCTAGTCACACGTCAACCTCGTGCGTTTGTCTCTATATGTGCATGCGCCTGTATGTTTTGGCACAGGTAGGATACCAGCAGCGATGGCTCAAAGTAAATATGACGAAAAAAGTAGTGTTCGTTTTCGGCCATCGAAGTTTGATGACCACCAACATACCATTTCTCGGAATATTCTAACCATCTCTACGATTTCGCAAGGTCGAACACGCGTCTGATATGTGCTGATAATTTTTGATGTATTCACATAAGAGAGAAAGAGTGGGCGAAAAAGTAGATAAAAGTGACCATTATTAGAACCAAGAAAAGCAACACCTTCTCTATTCTTGAGTCCATTAATTAAGCATAACATTTGATATATTCCATATTCGGTTTATTTCGATGGCTTCTCTAATTTTACATTTTGCGCCATACTCTACAAAATGAGAGGCTTGAGACCATCCAATCTCCTGTCCAGTCCATGTCGTGTGCTCATCTGGCTATGATTTTTGAGCCCAACCGCCTCTACCGGTGTTTTGGAGCTCAGTCACTCTTTGAAGAATGGTCGAATAAAAGCGACCACATAAACGCATTATTTTGTAGCAACCCGATTTGGATAATGGGTCAACTTTCTCCCTGAAAGTGGGCATAACTGAAGAAAGTGTCCTAGTTTTTTACACACTTCCCTACCAGTTCGCCCATTCTTTTAGAGGGAACGCATGAAGACAAAGACAAAGCATAATAAAAGGTATCCTTATCTCTCCTTACGTATTCACCATTCAAAAAAGTATTCATAAGGTTTTTTGGTGGGATTCACCTTTGAATTTCTCCACTAAACTCTTTTACTCCAAATGGAAGTAATCTTAACAATTATGAAATAAGTGATTCATCGCAACCCAACTTTTCTTCACAAAGCTGGTAGACCCCATTACTCAGACTTCTGATAGCGATAAGACAAAATTTGTTATAACCCTCATTATAGATACAAAGAATAACTGGGTTTCGATGAATCTAATAAGATTCAATTCGTATTAAAGTACCCTCCCTGCCCTATGTCCTGTTTTGAATACAGACATTAATACACATAAAGACATAATAAAGTATTATAAAAATAACAAAAACGATGATATACCCATCTATATTGGTAAAGAGTTTTCTCGTTATGAATATATGCATCAAATATAAAAGATCCGGTCAGTCTTCTTGTCTTAGTGTTAACGTGAGGATTATACAAGAATTAGCTCTAGGTCTTATGTTGTCCATCATCAGATGAATGAAATTTTTGCCCGTTTTCACCCCAAAAGAGGGAGAATGTCTCATGGAATGCGTCAAGCCAAACGGCTGGAGTACAATGTTAATCAGCCGTCATTTTCTGGTTAAATCGTACTTGGAATCTCTCCATTAGACACACTTTAATACGAAATAAAAGAATCCTCAAAATACTACTTGAATTAATCAGTAGTGTGTCGAGTTTGTTGGCAAAAACACACGATTACTGATCAATTTAGCATTCTCCACAATGTGATAAAAATTGAAAGAGAGGTTTGATTTTTCCTGGAATGCATTTATTTACCTCTTTACCTCAACGGTTGCTACTGAGAGCTCCAGCAAGAAACCGGTCAAAAATGTCACATCTTTTTTTCAGTTTATAGAGTGAATACAGTTTGTATTCCAAGTTTACCAGTGGTCTCAAAAGCAAATTTAAAACAAAAATCACGGTATATTCTACATCAACGTTTACGAAAAACAGCTCACCTGATAACCGGGAGTCTTGTCGTCGTGTTCGTCGAACGAGCTCCGATCGCCTCGGACGCCTCTGCGGAGCACAGAACATCTGAGCCCCTGAACGTCGGGCAGGTCGTCGAGGCGTTCGGCGAGGCTAAGACTGTGCGAGGGCGGAAAGGGGCAAGCAGATGAGCAAATGTATCGTTAAAGTGAGACAGAAATCTCACAGACTCAAAGAGAGACGTGCACACTTGAATGCAGATGTTGGGGCCAGGGACAACGGGCTTTTGGAGTGGGCAAAAAGAGAAAGTGTATCTACAGTCCCGGTGGCACTACCGGCTCGCTTGAAGTGTTAGTTGCACAGGCAAATGTTAGTTACCTTTCAGTCCTAAACTGAGGAAATCTGTACAATTGGAAGGTGAAGAAAACGGACTTTAGCACCGAGGCATCCTCTTCAAAGATCTCCAGCAGAGATTCGTCGAAACTGAAAGAGGATAAGTTAAAAGTGTCATTCTGTACTGTGCAAGCAAAAAGGTTGTGCGTGAAATTAAATAGCCTAGTATGGTTGACACACAAATATCATCAACTTTTTCTTAGAATAAAAGCTGTATCTCAAAGAACCTCCTTGTTCATAATTGTTGAGCTTACTTTCATTTCGAGTGAATGTGTGCGCGATGAGGATTTTCGATGGTCCGTCCCTCCAGAAGATGACGGCGAATAACGCTTGGCCACGTGTCAGTTGGTTTTATTGGAAAATTCTTGCGGAAGGACATAATCGGAGCTGAGAATCATTCTTACAACCATTGTCAAGCTAATGAGTGAAGAAAACTCATCGGGTTATCCAGAAATCCAATATACATAACCGTTTTGTTTAGTTTAAGACATATGCAAATCAAGAGACATGTGCACGTGTCTTATTAGTAATTAATTATTTATTTATTTTATACTATTTAGATATGATTTCAATGCCTATCTTCATTCTTCTAGCTTTACGAAATGCACGAAAGCTAGATCAAGCAAAGCTAATACCATGCAATTTTTAGATATTTCTATTTTACACAATGTGTTTTATTGTGCGTATACATAAAAGAACCATTAGTAATTAATTTTTTATTTATTTTATACTATTTGGATATGATTTTAATGGCTATCGTCATTCTTCTAGCTTTACGAAATCCAAAAAATCTAGATCAAGCAATGCTAATACCATGAAATTTTTAGATATTTC